TCCCCAGCGCACTTGGCGGTGGACCCGGAAGTGGGCCAAAAGTATATGTTTTTTCTACATACCTCAAGGTACCAAGTGGCTCATGAACGCTGAGATGGTAGGGTGGATGGAGTGTCCCACAGGAGCGTGGGGGAGGGGTCCCCAGCGCACTTGGCGGTGGACCCGGAAGTGGGCCAAAAGTACTTCCGGTCCACTTCCCAGTCCACCGCAGAGCGTGTGGGGCACCCCACCCCCTGGCTCAGCGACTAGTGCCTCCTGGGTCTAGGGGGGGCACCAGGGGTCCCCCTGTGGCCGATCGCAGGGGTGGAGGGGGGCCACCCTGCATGCTTGGTGGCAAACCCAGAAGTGGACTGGAAGTACTTCTGGTCCACTTCGGGTCCACTGTCAAGCACGCGGGGGGTCCCCCCTGTACTCCTGTGGGACATTCCATCCGCCGCACCATCTCAGCCTTCACGGGCTGCGCCTGGTACCTCAAGGTATGTAGAAAAAACATTTAAACCTGTGTCTATGGCCAAATCACTGATTCTCTGAATCAGAATCGAATCTTCAGATTCTGCTGAATTTGAATTGGGACAGTGATCTGAATCAGTGAATCTAATCACCGTCCCACGAATTGGGCCGAATCGAAATCGAACACAGCCTGCTTCGCACACCTCTGAGAGAGTAGCTTGATCACTAGACTATGCCTCTTTCTCTTATGATGCTTCTATAATTGTAATGCTAAAATAGCCAAATCACAGCTATACTTAATATAGATGTTGGAGAAAGTCAAAAGAACTTAATATTTGTGGTTTTGTGTATTTAAATTTTGTAATTCAGTTAAAAGGAAAATGTATTTATTTATCCATTTTAATAATGATTTTCCTTCAGAGTTGTTTGTTTTAAAATAGTCTGTTCTCTGAAATGAGATTGTTTAAACTATTAAACTGTTCCCATATGCATCTTGATGGCTTCCTTATTTTTATTTCCTTCATTTGCAAAAATAAAGAGAGGCTGTTTTAACTGCATTATATGGTATGGTTTGTCTGTGATAGCAGAAGACTGTGACCGAAAAGGTCTCTTCTGATCCAATGTCCTATGTTCCTATGCCAACTTAGCAGATTCAGTCTAAGAGGTGAGAGTCAGGCTGTGTTCTTCCAGTCTTGTACCTGTAATAAACATTCTGCACCTGTAATTCATTCAATAATTCTTCTAAGGAAGAAGAAACAGTAGAAGAATTCAGCTCACTGTCTCCTGTAGCTGCATTAGTTTTGTGTTAAAATTGTAACAGAAGTAAAAGGTATCAAATGTTTATTTTAGTAAAATAAGCAGATGCAAGAGTAACAGTGTGTCACTTTTAAAGATAACTTTTTAACCATAACTGCTTTGAACCATAATAAAAGATTATTCTTTAAAAAAACACTTATTCTTCCTTTTTCATAACTGGCCATTGTGTTTCCCTCAATATCAAAAATAAAGTTGCTAATAATGTGTAAGACATAGAATATTACCAAACCAGTGTGAGGAACTGATGAAGCAAGATGCAGTGAAGGACTAGTTAACCAGAATTAGTCATTTAGGCTGCTTCCAGACATAGACACCCCACCCCCCCGGCACTTTACTTTAAAGCACTGAGCCTAACACACGCCAAGAAGAGGCAGAGTGTTAGTTGCACCCAGCTTTCTCAACATCTGTAGAGATTGGGCACTTTAGTGGGGCTTTTTTGTGCTTTTATCTAATAGCTGATTGAATCAGCCTTAGCTAAAAGCTCCAAAAAGCCCCACTGAAACGCCTGATGGCTACAAACGCTGTGGAGCTGGGTCAAATTAATGTGCTGCTGCTTCCTGTAGAGTACGTTTTTGGTGGGGGAGGGAGTTTTCCTGTGTTTGTCAGTGCCCTTAAGTTCCAGATGTGCTCTGTTCCCATTTTATAGTCTGAGGAGAAGGTATGATTTTTGTATGCAATTTTAATGCACACCAGCTTTCTAGGGACATAGGTATCCTGATTGGAGCAGAACATGAGTAAGTGAGGTCCCATATGCAAAAATTTTGTAGGTTTAAGGATGAACTCCTCAGCCAGGCAGTGCCTTGGCAGCATCTAATATAGGGCATATAGGTTGATGGCTATGGCTGCTTCATTTTTCATTTGAAATTATGGGCCTGAAGAACGTTCCTGTTCCCAGGCCTACTGGCCTCGTTCTTGGCTTGCCCACAGTCCACATTTAAACACACGTAGCACAGTTAAAATACCTGTGGTGACCTTGTACATGCCCCAGCATATCCTGGGGCAGCCACCAAGTGTGCCCCAGGATATGCTCTTTACAGTAAATAGCCAGTCTACTTGAATAACTCTCCAGGAGTCCCTTCAGCTAATAATTACACTTGCTTCAAAGTTGTTTTTCCCCTCCAGTTTGTGATGGTGCAGTGAAATCCCATGCTTTGTGAAATCATAGTGCTTCACTTTAGAATCAGGAAAAGGAGTAATTTGTGGGGTCAGGGTTAGGGTGGAAGAGTGAATGTATTTTTATTCATTCTCAAAGAGTAGACAGACACTTTTCTGACGTCTCAGTGCAGCTCCACAAATTTGTCTCAGTTTGGACCTGCAACACCCAGGTTATTCCAGTTTTGTGCAATTTAGTCAGATTGCTGAAGGGATTTTTGTTATGGGGACAAATAAGACTGAGTAAGCTAATTTGAACTGTGGGAAGAGATCAAGGATGTTGTGGAATCAGTTAGACCCATTGTATGGCCTGTGGTTGCAAATGGTGAAAGGTTTGTGTAGTACATATTATGCAACCCTAACATTTTTAACGTTAGGCTTTTGAAGATGTATTTACTTGTTCTTTTGTGATGCAGAGATAATTGATATTGGTAATAGAGGAGTCATAGATGGTTCCAAAGCCTATATATATTTTCTGATTAAGTATTTTAAATTCTGTATTTATTGTACAGAGCTATGTAATTAATTGTGTGTGCAGAACAGGCAATGCCAGTGTCAGCAAAAGGAATAGTAAGGATTTGTATGAATGACTGTGGTACATGGGTTGATTGTGGCAGCAGTACTGCTAGAAACAGGATGAGGGAGGGGAGGGGACAGGAAAGGTCAGGAGGAGAAGACCCCATACCAATAGTTATGTGATGTGATGTAGTTATACAATGCTAGGTGACATAAATTCATAAAGTGTTTGAGGAGCAAGAGAGGAAAAAAAATGCTTGACAGGCTTTTCCTTTTCAGGGTGTGTCCTGTCTGTCTGTCTCTAGATTATATATATGTGTGTGTGTGTGTGTGTGTGTGTGTGTGTGTGTGTGTGTGTGTGTGTGTGTGTGTGTATGTATAAAATAAATTTATATAATCTATATATCTATAAATAATATGCACAAATGAATATTCAGTTGTGAGATTTTTGCATGCTTCAGCGCATAGGAAACAAGGCCAGAAGCTCTGTGATTTAAAACACAAAAATAATCTTTTAGTGCTAAAGCTGAATACACTGACCTGGTTTTATTATAAAAATAGTCATTTTAAATAGAAATTAAAAGAAAAGAGGGGCAAGGACATTAGTTTTAAAATATGTTGTTGCAGGCCAGAGCATTCATATTCATGGTCTCATCATATATCCTTCTTTCCTTATCAAGTACTGCTTGAGTGCTTTAGTTTGACATAGCATAGTCTTTTTAACATTTCAGAATCCATTGGTTTTTAAAATGCATGCAGCTCAAGACAGATGCTGGAGAAAAATATGGCACCTTAAAATTAAGCAATTTATTTGAAGCTGGACTCAGTATTAAACTGTATGAATATGAGTAGTGATTAGCTTAGGCAATAGGTCTTACTGCTTCTTCATATCACTAGATGTTTTCATAGACATTCTTAAAAATAACTATGAACATCTAAAGAAGTTACTGGTTTGTCTTAGTGATTATGTGAGGTTTTGGCCTATTTTGACTAATGAAATTGCTTCATGTTTGTGATCCATATGAGTAAGTTAAATCAAACACAGTATGAGGTGTTTTTCTACATGTAACTTTTCACTATCCTCCTTCCATCATGTGTGTCATGCTTTTCTGAATAGCTAAGAGTAATGGATACTGCCAAGTTGGACTGGTGTCAGGTTTTCCCTATGTTCTCCAAAGAAAAGAAAGCTTAGGAAAGTGTCTCTGGGTGTATGATGTTTAAAGGAATGGCAGCATATTCCACTGGCACTGTTGGGACAGCATTTTGGGAGTATTCGGCAACAGTGAAACAATAGGGTGCATTTGTTGTTGCCTACTAAAATATATAGCTCATGCTGTGTGATTTGAACTATAGTTTTTTTTGACATTTCTGTAAACAATACCACTGTTGCTGACTGGCATACCTGCAGTCAGATTTATATTGGATCATATAGCTTGCCCTGCTGTGGGAGTATTAGAAACTACAGATTCTTCAGGGAAGATGCAAGAATGACATAAAGTTCTGGACTTTCGTGTTCTACAGTAATCCTCTTTGGGGCAGATATGTGTTTGGGTAATACATACATATATCCAGGCTTTCTGCTTGGTAGCCTCATATTGTGGGTAGCCACTTACCAGACATTCATACCACATAGAATCTTTTCACATAATATGCTGAAGCAAAAATTATCAAGTTTTAGTTAAGATTTGGTACCCCTTTCAGAAAGATTGCACCAATGTGGATCACAATCTGCTTAGGGTACTATTTTGAGCATGGAAAATGCCATTAAATATCCATTTCTATGTGGAAAGCAGTAAAAATTTCTCCCATGAATCTCAAGTCTGCTTAAAAACAGGCTGATTTCTTTCTGTTTGTGCTACTGAAAAGAGTGGCTTTCCCCCTCCCCTTTCCTCTAATCCAAGTACTTTAATTGCTGTGGTGATTATTAAGATTATGTAACTAGTGCTTTTCAAATTCTTAAATTGTTCTATTGTAAGTATAATATGTGGGTTTAATTTTCTATCCTTCTGTTCTGTTTAAGGAGAAAGAGCG